AGCGAGCTCGACCGTCCTCGCGACCGCCGAGGCCCGTTTAGGCCGGTGGCGACAGAGATCATGTTCAGAAAAATGATTGTGTTGTAGTGTTTGTTGAAACAAGTAAACAATTAGCTGATATATTTACAAAACCTCTACCAAGAGAAAGATTTAATCAATTGAGAACTGAACTAGGAATTATCAATGAGTCTTGTTTGAATTTATTGTGAATGTGTACTTGAGTTTGATTGCTTGATTGAAATTTGGTTGATGTATGTGTAAAACACTGATATATGATGCATAAAAGAGTAGTTTAAGAGTTGAAATATATTAGGAATGGGTTAAAAGGTTAGAAATAAGAGAAGCAAAACTTCTCTGGAATAATCGATTATTGTAAAACTTAATCGATTATTGTAAGTGAGCCTAGGAGAATAATCGATTATTTGGAAGAAAATCGATTATCTGGGAGAAGAGGAATTCCAGAAGTCTTTGGAATAATCAATTATTTGGGCTATAATCGATTATCTAGGTAGCAAGTATACAAAGAGTCTCTGGAATAATCGATTATTTAGGAAATAATCGATTATTTGGGAAAGTGAGAGGAAATGACACTCTGGAATAATCGATTATTCCAAAAATAATCGATTATTTAGTGCAGAAAGGGTTTTTCAAAGGATTTTACTGATACAAATAATCGATTATTTGTATAGATAATCGATTATTTGCGCGACCCTTGGTTTTCCAGATGGTTTTTAAATGGTTTTATTCGTGCCAACCCCTAACCTCCCACTTCTCTTCATAAGTGGCATCTCTTCTCTACCCCAATCCGGTGCTAGGGCTTTTATAACTTCTAAAGCTTCTTATTTTTCAAATACCCACATTCTCTCAACTTTCACACAAACCCTAACACACTTTCTTCTTCATCTTCTTCATCTCCAACAAAGAACCCACCTTTAACCTCAAAATGGCCTCATCTTCTAAGAGACCAAAGAAGCTTGAAGTCAGGGGGAGCAAAAGACCTCTGCCAACAGGAGCTGAGCAACTCATTTCTAAGTGGTTTGCTGATGAGAAGACCCAAGATTACTATTTTGAATGGTATGCGGGTAGGAGAATCATTCCTCCGAAGACCTTGAAGCTAGAATGGTTCAAGAATGAAGGTTTTAGCTGTGGTGAATGATTGTATGTGGAAGGCTAGGAGGAAGGAGGATGGTCCAATACCATATGCTTTGTTATTATCTAGTATTTTTTAGAAAGCTATTGTGGATCTTAAAGGGGAGAAAAAGATAATTCTTAATGCCTCAAACAAAATTGAAAAATCTTATTTGCATCATATGGAGATGCTGAAACAAGAAGATAAATGGGTATTCAAAGGAGATGTTCCTCCGATGCCTGAACCTACAACAAATGAAGATGGTGTTCCATCTCATGATGAAGACCAGCCACCACAAGTGGAAATTGAACCTGAACGAGAACAAGAACCAGAGCCTAAAACATTTTCTCCGTTTGAGCAAATTATGATTAACAAGCTTAAAGCAGTAATGGAGATGTCAAGGAAGCATGAGTCGTATTATTCTGGCATTCTTGATCGGTCTGATAACCTTGATCATGAGATTGCACGAATTAAGGCTCAGCTTGGAATGCAAGAGGACTCAGAGTGATGATTTTAGGAGCTTTAGTGTTCTATTTTTAGAAGTTTTAGTTTAAATTTCTGGTTTTAAATTTCATTTGGGTTGTAATCATGTTAATTCCTGAACAATTTTCTTATCTTGGTTTTATCTTGTTTTGAACAATTTAAATTCTGGTGCAATATGAATTTCATTGTGATTATATTGTGTTTGGGATGATTTGATGATGGAAACTTTGATTTGGTTGCAATATTCTGGTTTATATGTTGATGTGTGCAAATAGTAATGCATATTTGTTATGTTTGTTGTGATGCTTACACTACTACAAAAGTAATTTTCTATGACGCTATTTCTACATCGGTTAGCATAAAAAAATGTAGAAATGAAAAGCAGTGGCTGTTTTGTAATTAAATGAAAAAGACTATCATATTTACATCGATTTTAAAGATAAACAATGTGAATTCAGAGTGTTCTACATCGGTTTAAAGAGAAACGATGTGAATCCAGAGTGTTCTACATCAGTTTAATTTGAAACCGATGTAATGTTCCATGTACTTCATATTCATGTAAAACACCTCTACTTCTTCGTTCGCCCAAACCTTCTCTGATCTCATATCATTTTCCACAAGCCTTTCAATAAGGAGCAAGAGGAGGTCTTGTGTCGCCCTCATCGACAAGCTCGAAAAACTCCACCAATCTCTTGCCACTACTTTGGTGGAAAAGATTGAAGCCTCAAGGAAGGCTCACTACCACGATGCAAAAACCCTAACTAAGAGCCCCAAATCGAGAAAGCCATTGCGCTCAAACGACATAGTGACAACCGACAATTATAGCTACAAAACCCTAGAATAGAGAAGCCAAAGCAGGTGGAGCATCTCGTCAATGCATTCTTAGGCCTTGCCAAGTCCTCTTTTGTCTCCCTAGATTTGAAGGCATTCTCCGTCGTGCTTGCCCTCTCCTTCCTCCTCCTCTTGACACTACTTCCTGTCGCAACAAACTTCTCAGAGTTGATTTCGTGCAAGGAGTCAAAGCAAAACAAGTGTGAGTTGGGTGTTGAGAAAAAGGGTAAGCTTTGATTTTTTTCGTTAGGCTAATTTTGTGAACATTTAAAAACTTCTCTTTTACTTTTTTGTTTGTTATTGTTAACATTCTTACTATTATTGTTGTGCAGATGGTACATAATCAAGGTTATATACCATGAGATGTGAGGATCGTGATGACTCCTATCTTGGGATTCCTGCACGGGTTGTTCAATATGAAGGTTAAATTAATATATTCCTAATGTTTTCATATGTTAGTGCTTCATTGTAGTTTTTTTCTTAAGTTTGGCTTGATATTCATTGAGAATTTGGTATTTAACTGGGCTCAATATGATAAGGATTTTTTTGTTGTTGTTGACTGTTGGTCTCCTATAATAAACTAATTTAGTTTAGTGAAATATATTTTTTTGGTTTATGAGATATCATGTCTGTGATGTCAAGAGCTCATTCTTGTGAGTGTGTTTGGGACTTCCCACAAGCATTTTCTTACATGAAACCTACTAGTTGTTTCGTGTAGGTTTATTCGATTTATACTTCAAACTTAAAAGCAATAAGTTGTGATGAGTGTGCTAATTAGTTTGTCTTGTTGAGGTTTAAGATGCAAGTTTAATGTATATATATCATTCATTCTACTTTGTCGAAGTTGTAGATATCATTTATTTAGCTTGGAAATAAAGAAGTTTTTCAAAATAAATTTCTTTAGAAGAAAAACCCGTCTCAAATTAGCCTTAAATTGGTGTTTTTTTTGTCTATTTTATGCTTAAGGAATACAGAACAGAACTTTGCTCTTGATTTTGCTTGTGGGAGTTGTTTGTTCAAGCGGGTCCTGTTAGTATGTTATTGTCATTCATTCATTTTCTTAGCTTTAACTTTAAATAAACTCACTCTCTTTAAATTTGTCTCAGTTAATGTCTATGTTCCCAAAGATAGAGTCACCAACCACCATCAGGGTTATGGATTTATTGAGTTCCAGAGTGAAGAAAATGCTAACTATGTGAGTATTTGGAAGTCGCTTCTCTAAACCTAACATATTCTCGCTAATTTTTCTTTTCTTTTTCTTCTATTGCAGGCCATCAAGGTGCTTAACATGATTAAGTTTTGTGGTAAACCGATCCGTGTCAACAAGGTATTCTACTATTTGTATGTGGTGTTTAAGTATGGAATCATTAGAGTGTGAATGCTTATAAGTTATACAAACTCTACTGTGTTTGTATAAATCTTAAATCTTGTATTCTTTCTTAAATATTTTTGTCATATCAGTTGGAACCTATCACGTGGTAATCTTGTCAACACTGTTTTACAGAAAAGATACCCCCACCCAATTTTTGAGCTGTGTCTATCTTGTATTCTTTTCTGACTTGTATGAATAAATTTACAGAGCAAGTCTTTTGACATTTTTGCTACTATATGTAGGACTGCTGATCATACTAAATGGGTTGGTTCTTTTTACACAAAGCAAGACTTCATAGATGTTGTAGAGGTATCTATTTTGGTTTGTTTGACTAATAATATTATTCATGTAGATCTTTGATCCAATTGGTATGATCGTAAATTACTTCTAACTACTAATTATTATTATTTAGCACTAAATTTATTCTTCAAGCAGTAACTAAGCCTATGAAGTAAAAGCATAAAGCTATGCTTTTAGTCTTGTAGATACTAAAATTAGCTATAAGAAGATATAAAGTGAACTTACTAATTTTTCCCTACTTTTTTTGTCAACATTTGCTTCTTTTTTCTCTGATTTTTGTTTCATAAATATTTTTTTATCTAAACATCATAGTATCATCAAGATGCCTTTTGAATATTCAATCAGAAAAATCTTTGTTTGATTGCTAGTTTTAATTTGTCAAGAGGACATAGCAGACCCTTTTGGTTGGTGGATAAAATCAAGAATGCTTAAAAATGACTTACTGGCTTGTGGGAGTACTGCTATTTGCTAGCATGTTTTCCCTTTTTATTAATTGTATTTATTTCTACTGGCTTCACAATTTGTAAACTGATTTCAATATTCAAGTATTTGATTTTTTTTGTTCTTTCCTTTTCTTTTCTCATTTGCCTTGATAATTGGATAGGGGATGGGGTGAATAATTGAATATCTGGAGTTTATTTATTTAGTGTTAGGTTAGCTTTTACATAACTTTACCTTATTTTAGTGTTGTATTGTAATAACTGCAAGGGGAACTCCGGAAAGATATTTTGTTATAATTGCTGTTATAGATCAATTTTCTATTCCTTTTCATTCTAAATCCTTCAATATATAGGAGTCCTGTTGCCATGGAGCAGAGCCATCCGTGTGTTTCATTTCTAATTTCCAATGAAAATGAATAATAAAAGTTAATACAGAAAAAAAACCTAAATTTTAATCTAAGTAAACCCAGTGGACTAGTAGGAAAGGAGAAAGTGGTTCACTCAATAGATAAACTAAGGGAATTTTGCTATCATTTCACATAAATATTTAAAATTTTAGTTTTTCTTTTTTAAAACACAATTCCTATATCTGTCCCTTGATATATTGAGTACATCTTTCTTTGGCAATATTTAAATTTTAGTATTTTAAATGATTTTTTTGTTTTACTAATTATTTGTAAAATTTCCCAGTATTCTAATTGAATTGTCTACTTCCAAGGTATTTATTATCAGTATTCTTGAAATTTCTACTGACAATATTTAGAGGAGCAATGAAGGGAAAGCTTATTGTGAAATGTCCTCTCTCGCATGAACGTGTACCAAAATACCAAATACTGTACAAGGATGTTTAAAAAATAAATTCAATCTCTGCTTCCATTTTTATTTTCATAGGGGTGGGGATAATTAACTTGAAAATACTCCATTGGTAAATATTGTTTTGTTTTTGTTCTTCTCTTCCTTTTTGCTTAGTATGTGCTTGGCTCATTGAGTTGAGATCTTTTGTATATATTGAATTTTTCATATTATGCTGCTTTCATGAAATAAGAGTCGGTCATTCTTTTATTTATTTATTTTTTCTTTAGAAAGAAAAATATGTACCTATATTTGTTGGATTGTAGGTCCAGGATCTGTATGCTGACTTGCGAGCGTGATATATTATATGTATTTATCTGATTTGGATAAGCTTGCATGAAATTGGTGTTAGAACTCTGGAATTGCATTGTGAAAAATAATATTTACATAGCTTTTCAGCAAACTGTATATCACGCAAAATGAAAATAGAAACCGTTGATCATTGCGAGCATTGTTAAAAACAAGCATGATTTTTTTTATAAAAAAAATGCAATCTACATCGGTTATCTAAAGAATAGATGTAAATTTATGTATAAATATATATTGGTTTTCCTGATAACCGATGTAAATTTATGCATAAATCTACATCGATTCTCAAGATAACCGATGTAGAAGGACATAAAATTTCTAAGTCACTCTATTCTACATCGTTTTTAGAAATGATGTAAATGTCTTCGCAGAACCGATGTAGAATATGCATCCTATAGTAGTGTTAGCTAATGTATCATGTGGTATGAAATTTTCTGATACAAATTATGATATTAGTTTGGATTAATTGGAACAATGTCTATTGTGATGTTGTTGGACTAATTTCTTGGTATTAAGTTGGTCTTGTGGCATTAATTTTTGAGCAAAGGGTTCTTGTGCATAATTCAATACATAAGAAACCTGGACATATGAATATATCTTGTTGTTTTTGATGATGTCCAAAGGGGGAGAAAGGTTTTTGAGTTTGTTTTGCAGGACTTAAAATGTGAAAATACTAGTTTGCAAAACAAAATGGCTTGTATGGTTTGTCATCATCAAAAAGGGGGAGATTGTTGAGATTCATGGAGTGGTGAATCAACTCAAACTTGGAGTATGAAAGTTTTGATGATAACAAAAGGAGGATTTTGAGAATCAAAAGCTAACCAAGGACATCAAAAAGTCAAAAACAAAGTCAAGAAGAAAATATGGCTACTATGATGTGTAATAGGGATAGCTCATAAGTTTTATTATTTTGTTTAGCTTATTTTGCATGTGTGTGCTTTGTGCATGAGTCAATCTTCATCTAATTTGAATAAGAGTGAGTATGATGATGAGTTAGATACCTGAAAAGTTATTTTGAGATATAAAACAGAGTTTTTGAAAACTGACTCAAAATAATCGATTATCGTTAAATATAATTGATTATTCCATCAACAGGTGAAAAGGATGCCTTGCTGTAATAATCGATTATTTGTGAAATAATCGATTATCCCAGGAAGCACTCTCTAGAATAATCGATTATCCTGCAAAATAATCGATTATTCTGTTCTTGGTTGATTTCTAGAAATCATGAAGAACAAAATAATCGATTATCCTTTAAAATAATCGATTATCTGGTTCTGAAAATTTTATAAATAGTTTTCACACTTTGAAACTTCAGAATAGATAATGAGTTAACAATCAAAAAGAGAAAAATGTTATTGTGAAGTCTTTGTGACCTTCTTGGAGTGTTTTCTTTGTGAAACCAAGATGTAAAACGTTTTTTGAAATGCTTTGAAAAAGATCATCATCATCATCACATTCTTGGAAGAGAAAGATTGAGATTTGCTTCTGAATTCAGAGTCTGATTTGTTCAGCTTCCAGGTGAATTCGTTCCTTTAATTCTTTGTGAATAATCTTAAATCTTGAGTAGGTGTCTCAAGTGGTAAGGAATTCTTGTAGTGGGTTTCTACAAGAGGTTCTTTCTTGGGGTCAAGAAAGTGGTTCTTGAATGTAGGAGTATATGCATGTGTGGTATGCTTGTAAAACTTCTTCAATGAGATAGTGGAACAAATCTTGATCAGGTTATGATTGAGGAATGGATGTAGGTCACATGTGGAGTGACTGAACCAGGATAAAAGACTTGTGCATTCTTCTCTTACCCTTATCTTTTACGTTGAGCAAAATCTTGGTTGAGTGTTAAAGTGAATAATCTTGATTAATATGTTTGTATGCACAACATTGATTTAAACTGAATCAAAGTGTTGCATATTAAGTGTTCTTAACATTGAACTTTATCAAGATTAATCAATAAAGCATATAAGACTCATTCCCATTAGCAAGTCTTTCAAGAAACTTCTTTGAGAATTCATATTAGAAAAGTTTAAATTGAAATAAAGATCCTTAGAACTCTAAAAAAATTTTAGGTGTCATAGAATCCAATTCACCCCCCCTCTTGGATTGAGCCATTCTTTTCTAACAATCTCCACCTTGAGTAAAAACCCTAGGAGTGACCTTCATCTACCTTGGAGTGAGCCAATCCCTAGAGTACCTCTCAAGCATTCCATCAAACATCTTTTATCTTTCCTCCATTTTCGGTCACCTCCATCATCCAAGGCTAGGCCTTTGAAGAACTAAGATCCGCGGAGTCTAGGAGTGCTCTCATTGATCATCCTTCTTCCATCAATGTTAGGAGGTCTTCCATCAAATCTGGTGCTATAAATTAATTTGCATGAACATTTGGCCCTAACATTTCACCACACAACTCACCAAAAACAAAATCAGTCACATACAATGATGGAGGACCATCCTTTGGAGCTACATGTGGGGCTCACCACTAGGTCCATGGCCAGGAGATTAGAAAAGGATAGGGGAGCTAACACCCTTAGAGACATGCTCCTCATAATTTTAGAGTATTGATCATTCTCCTATGTCTTATTAGTATAAGATTTATTTTTATTCCTATTTTTCCCTTGTCTTTAATTTCCTATTTTACTCTTGTATTTTGGGGTACCTTAGGCATAGGATTTATTTTACTTGTATTTTCCATTTTACCCTTGTATTTTGGGGTACTTTAGACATAAGATTTATTTTTACTTGTATTTTCCATTTTACCCTTGTATTTTGGGGTGCCTTAGGTTATAGTAATTTATTTTGTATCTAGGGTATTTTATTAGGGTTGGGTGACTAGACCTAGACGTGTTTTTGATGATCATTGGAGTTGTTTTTGGACTTGGAAAGACTTTGGCCCAAGAGGAGGGCACCTAGGTTTCATGGTCTTATTATGCAACTAGTTGTAGCTTAACCAAGCCAAAGATTCCATCTTTGGCCACCAAGTAGACATCGCATTAGGGTTAATTTAATTAGGGTGCATTTGGAGTGCATTTGGCTTGCGTTGCTTGGCCATGCACTCATAAATGCAACCCTAATTCCTTCTTCCCTTTTATATACCATAGGCCTCCCACCTGATAAATACTTTGGATTATTATGATATTGAGTGAGCATTTCATGCCTGAAAATATTATCCTTAGTCATTAGGTTAATTTCGGCTAACCTACTCCTATCAAAACCCTTGGTTAGTGATAAACCCTAGAGTGGCCTCCACCTTCATCTTGGAGTGTGCCAACCTTCCATGATAGCATCCACCTTCACACCCTCCTTCCTTCGCACCTTGACTGTCTCATTTCCTTCTCGGTGACTAGAAGATCGTTGATATTCCATGATCCTTGGAGCAAGGTGACCATTCCATTGAAGCATCCATCCATTAATGCAAAGTGGTTTCCATCACACAATCACATAACGAATTGATACAAAAACTTCAAAAAAATCAACAAACAAACTCAATATTAAAACAAAATCAACAACAACTTGCCTCACAAAGCTAATGTGCATGTACACTAAGACTATAGCAAGCGAGAGAGCAATCATTGCTAAGGAATATTTCATATGTGACAGAAGCTTAAATAGGGTTCACAATGCAATTGAAACACATGAAAAAAACAAATAGTCCATAGGAATTATAAAATCAAATGCACAATCACAATATCATAAAACTAAAACAAGATCTTGTAAATCAAAAGGCATATAAAATATTCTTAGTAAAAAAAGAAAACATGAAACCAAAGATGCTCTTGCCAATGAAGCCCTAAACCTTCAAACTCCTTTAGAAGGTTAAAAATAAAAATGAAATTGAAAAGGAAAAGAAATTTAGGATTGCAATAACTTTTTTTCTTTATTTTTTTAGCTTTAAATGAATGAATATGAGGGGTGCTTAGTGGAACAAGAATACCACTTGAGAACCATAGATTGCAGGATATGCCATCAAATTTGCTAGTAGAACTACAATTCAAAGTTAGGGTATGCACAAGAAAAAATGAATAAGAAGAACATACCTCTCAATGTCAATGTGAGATAAACCAAGCAAAGTGTTGGGTTCACTAAAGATTTTGGGTTACAAGAGGGAGAAGACAAAATAATTTTTGAAGAAGAAGGATAAAAGGGTTTAATAGAAAATAATACATTATTCTAATTAGAATTAATGTAGAAAAAATAAAAATTGCATCGGTTATAGTTAAAACTAGTGTAAGAAAATATAAATAATTATTTAAATGCCACTGTCTCACTTTCTTCATCAATTATTTATGAATAGATGTAAAGAGGTTGACATAAAATAATACCTTTACAGTAGTGTTTTCCTAATCATCAAGGTTGACTCTCACTATCACTCACTACCTCCTTTGATGGGCTACAAATTGATTTGCAAGTTCCAAGTATGACTTGCTCATACTAGAGGAACCGTACCTTCTTTTTTTCCCTCACTGGTCCCACACTATTATAGTGTGTTGCATGCATGATGCCATCCTCATGATAAGTTGACATTTTATTGACAAAATAGGAAACCAATATGTCTCTTGATAGTTTACAACTTGCTTATTCTACGGTCACATGTTGACAAACTTCATGTGAAGTCCCACATCGGTTAGGAAGGAGAACGAAGCATGCCATATATATGGGTGTGGATACCTTCCTTGTGTGGACGCGTTTTGGGGTGGCATGCGTGCCATTGCCAGAAGCAAAACCGTGAGGGCTGCGGCCAAAGCGGACAATATCCACATGCGGGTTGCTGGGCTGTTACACTTCACACACTTGGATTTCTCATTATCTGCACTATTATAGTGGGGAAAAATGCATCGACTCCTCAAACTTGACAATGTGCTTCAGCATTGTGCCATCACCCTACTTCATCTCTAAAAACTTATCTTCTTCATATTCTTCACATCTTAAGGGAAATACTTCTAAAAAAAATCCTTTTAAAGTTATTCTATTAAACTAGAATTCCTTTTGTCATCATCCTCTACAAGGTTTCAACCACTAGAACCCAATATTTTTAGACAACTTGAAGGCATAAAGCGATACCTTTCTAACATTAGGGAACTCCAAAGATTGAAAGATCTTTTCCACCTCATAGATCCACTCTATAACCCTATCAGGATCCTATCCACCTCTAAATATGACACCTTTATACTCGACAACATTGTAAATAAATATTTAAAACAAATAGTACATTTTAAATGGTATTATTATAAATACTTTCAACCTAACCTTATAAGTAAAAGAGTTCACAATTCTCTTAATAAACTTCTTTAATAAAAAGATGAATAAATGCCATCATATATCCAAAACAAGGCACAAAATGCCTTTGGTACAAAACTCCTAAGATTAAAAGAGGAAACATCATATAATAAAATAACTATAACAACAACTAAGAAAGCATAAACTCTTAGCCCTAGTGTCACACTATGAGAGAAAGACCTAAAATATTCAATCAAGTATTGGGCTTCTCTACCATTATACTCATCCTCTTATATTGACTCTACTCCTGTAAATGGTGATCAACTCAAACACACACAACAACAAAATTAGAAAGTGAAAATATATCTCATCAATGTACAACACATATAAAGAAAAGGGATAACATTAAAGACATACATCATAATCATGTTTTCATGCATATAATTATTTGCATTCCTATCATTCAGAGCCATACTAAACAAAATACATCTATCACTCCATATTCAACCATCAACAATAACCATTCATCTCATTCAAAATATTTCAATCATATAACAAGACTCGTGCAAATGCATGTACTTAACTTTATATGCATGTCATACCAATATTCTCAGCATGACCAACTCAAAGCAAACTAGGAGCCATGGAATGAAATCACCACACACTGAGTGACCCCCTAATCCATTATCAACTAGGGGATGTCTAATAGGATTC